CAACTGGCATCTTTATTAAATAGTACCCGCAGTAGCCTGTTTGTCCTGTCCTCTGAGGGGAGAGGTACACACCGTTGTAGGAAATCTTCAATTTCTTAGCAATTTCTCTCATGGAATATCCTTCATTTCTAAGAAAAAGAATAAACTGTTGAGTTTCAGGTGAAAGTTCTCTTTTTCTGGCCATTTTAGCGTTTAATTGACCCCAAAAATGGTTGGCCTGGCTGAATAGGCAATTCCCTCTAACGACCCCCCCTTTCAGAGACCTAGACCGGTATGGGGCATTGCAGGCTAACAAAGAAGCCAAACGACCCCCATTCCAAAGGGGGGGACCCGTTCATCCGTTTCTATTTGCATGTTTTCTAAAGGTTTTGTTGGTCCACTCTATAAAACCTGGAACGCCATCATTAAACATCAGTAATGGCTGTAAGGACAGCGGATTTGGAAAAGTTAGTTGGTCTTTATGAAGCCATTTTTAGGGGTTAATATAAGAATCTATTCAGAATTGGAAACTTATTTGACTTAAAGCCATATCGAGATCATCTGTAGCTGCGTTGGTTCCGGTGTCCCTCGGGGACGAGTCCTCGGATCCCTGCAGCTTCGCTGGATTCCAAAAATAATTCAAACTTTTTTCTCTGTGTCAAATTCGCTGCTGTAATTGACTTCCTGTAGGCGTCAGTCTGAGCGCCGTCTGTACGGAGGGAACTTTGTTCCATTATTGTTGAAAGCAAAGGACACATTTTGTAAATTAGAAAAAAAAATGTTGAAGTAACTTTTTCATTTTCTCAGATTTTCCAATTCTCTTTTTCAGATTGACTTTGATTTACGTTCTTTGATCACATTCTCTTCACTTTAAGCTTAATCCAAAACATCTGAGCAATAGAAAAGTTACGAACATCCAGCAGATCAAGAGGAAGAGAAGATCTAGAAAAATGCAGTTTAAAAAAATATAATTCCTCAAACTAAAATCTTAAGAAAATAATTTGAAATTGATTTAAACATTTTTTCATAAATTTCAATCAAACCCAGCCGTTGTGCTCTTTCCTGCCAGCTGGTGGCAGCAGCGAGCCTCTGCTCCTCTCTGCATCCTCAAAATAACATTCTGGCATTTTCCTGAAATGTGTCATAAAAAAAGTTCTTTATTTAAACCGCTGAGACGTTTCCCGTTTCCCCGCAGATATGAGGAAGGCGCTGTCCAGGGACACGGAGAAGAAGTCCATCATCCCGCTGCCGCACCCCGTCAGACCCGAGGACATCGAATAACGGCCCGTGGCTCTCTGACCGCCGCGCTCCTCCTGCCGGACGTCAGAGAGCCGCTGAACGTACAAAACCTTTGACCTGCTGCAAACTTGAATGAAAATGTTTCAGAAACTCTGAGGTGTGTTTGATGTCTAATCTTTATCGTCCTCGCTGCTCCGTTTCTTCTTTCCATCATCATCATCATCGCTGCTGCTGCTGCCCGCATCGTCTCGGTCGTCGTAGGTTTGCTCCGCCTCCGTCTCAGTCTTTTTCTCAGGCTGGTCCTCAGGAGGAGGAGGTTCCCTTTCCTCTGCGGTGGAGGAGGAGGAGGAGGAAGAGGAGGAGCCTCCCTCCTCCTCCTTCTCTCCGTCGTCGTCTTTCGCCTGCTGCCTCTTCCACATCTTGGCCATGGCGAGCAGCTTGAGGTTGGGCTGGTTGGCGGCGTCCTCGGGGAAGATGTAGTCGTAGTACTCCTCCCAGCCGGCGTCTGACTGTTGGGACACAGAGATAAAGGAGGCGGTGATAAAGGAGGCGCCGCAGCTCGGCTCGTCGCCCCGGAGGTTCCGCTCCTCTTACCCCGTCCTCGGCCGTCAGCTTCCTCCTCTTCTTCACCTTCTCCGGCAGCAGCTTCCGGACGCGCTCCATGGTGCCGTCGGAGCCGAACTCCTTCTCAAAGTCCCTCCAGGATTCCAGCAGCATCAGCCGCTCCTCCTTCTCCTCGCAGCTCCTCATGCTCCTGTTGGCCTCCTCGTAGGTCTGGCGGCACCGCTGCAGCCGGTCCGGACCGTCCACCGACAGCTCGAACTTGGCGTAACTGATCCAGACCTGCGGGGGAAACGAGGCGGTCAGTCGGGTCCGTGTTCCGGAACGGACCCGGCTCCGTGAGAAGCTTTGGGTCCGGCTCAGGGGGCGCGGCCTGCGGTCCCACCTCACCTTGACGTGCTGCGTGCGCTGCAGGAGCCGCTTGTAGAGGTTCCTCGTGTTCTCGAACTCCTCCTGCTCGATCTCAAAGTCGATGTACGACTTCCACAGAACCTGGAGGGACGGAAGGACGCCGACTTTAGAGGACGGGAAGGAACCGGAGCAGCGGGAAAACCGTCAGGATCCCGCTGCTTCAGCAGGAACAACCGCAGAACCCGGACCTGATGGATCTGCCGGGGCCTCATGAAGAAACTCAAAACACTTTTAAATCTACAAAAACAATCTTTAAAAATAATTATGAATAACATGAATCCATTAAACTGAAGGAGAATCATATCTGATGTTAACTTTAACCTTTTCGATTTAAACCTGAACGATGAAACCGATTAATCGTCATCCGACAGCAGAACATGATGGATCCCTCCTCAGTCTGCAGGAAACTAAATATTTCTCTGCTTTGGTCATAAATGTGCATCAAGAGCAGAAAATCCACATTTATTCTCAAACCTACAGGAAAACCAGCAGTAGATCAGTAAAAAGAGGGAGAGCGGAAAAAAATGAGCAACTAAGAAGAAATTAAGAAGGAAAAACCCTGACGGCCATTTTGAAACTCAAACTAAATAAAATAGTTTTAAAAGTGATCAATCTGTCATCTAACAGATTGTGGCTTTATTTCAACGTGCTTTACTGGGATTAACTGTCCGATGTTTAACCGTCTCAGATTGGTTGAAAGGGGGGGGGGGGTGAAAACTTAACATCAAAGGAGGCAGACCGTCCGTAACGACGTGCTGCCGCTGTTGATTCTGATGGAGTATCTGGTTTGCAGCTAACGCCTCTTTTCTATCAGTGACGTTTCAGATTGATCCAAACTGTGACTCCGCCCCCTAACCAACCGTCCTCTGACGTGTTTTTAGTGAAATTCAGAAGGTTCAGGTTTTGGTAACTGTTGCTAACGGAAACATAGAAAGGTGAACTGCTCTTAAAGCGTCATGTGATAGAGGTGGTGGCGTTTAGCGCTGATTGAAAGTCAATGGTGATGATTTCCTGCAGGGGGCAGCGTAGCTCCGACTGAGATGGAGCCCAGGTCTGTTTTAGTCGGACTAAGCAGCAATTCAGCAGCAATTTCATGGGTCTGACAGGAAGAGAGACGCAGTTAGAAAGTAAAACATCTGCTTTGAGGGAAAATACAAAATAAAATCTGTTAATCTGACTGAGAAAGAGTCAGTTTGGAGTCGCTCATCTCGTTTATAGGCAGCAGGACAGACTGGAGCAAAAACATTAAAATAAGAAAAACTTTCCCCATGATTGGATTTCAGGAGGACAGGAAACGGATAAAGTAGTTGATCGTCTTTCAGCCTCACAGAAACCAGAATGAGGAGGAGCAGACAGAGCAGGTCAGCGTATCTCTCTCACCTCTTCATGGAAAAAAGAAAGAAAAACTTCCCAGATCTCTCTGAGAATCACCTGTTTCTCTTCTCTTTAGACGTAGATCTCATTATATTTTTAATAGATTAACATTCTCTATCTGTTCTGGTTCTAGATGCTCCACAGACTCGCTAAGCTTTGCTTTATAGAATAGGCTGGCATTTATTTTTATAAATCCAGAATCTTTCCAAGTAAAATGTGAGAAATAATTTTAGTGTTTATAGCACAGAGACAGAAGGGGGGGGGGGGATCTGCTCACCCTGCCTCTCTATACGCCAGGGGTGGGCAGCTCCTGGGGGGCCGGGGTCCTGCAACTTTTACATCCATCCTTGGTCCAACCAACACACCTGAGTTACCTCCTCAGCATGCAGTCGGTTCCTCCAGTTCTCTCAATCATCTACTTGCTTCATTCAGGTGTGTTGAACCAAGGGCACATCTAAAAGTATCAGGAACCCGGCCCCCCAGGAGCTGGGATTGCCCCCCCTGCTATATGCAGTCACTGTGACATGAAAAAAAATGGATTAGAGATTTATGCAGCCGCTGTGTTCAGGCCTGATGTTGGTACCAGGAGAAAAGGGACTGAAGGAACCGTGTTTCCCCCCTGTGCTGATTGACAGGTTGGATATTTAACAATCTCCCGTTCCCATGACAACCACACCTACGCTTCAACAGGCTTGCATTATTTTATATTAATAAAGGTTCTAAATGTAGTTGTTTTTTTGGACGACTGGTTTTAGTGATTTTAAACATCAGGTGTCGCCTTGTTGGCGCGTCCTAATAAAGGGTTTATACAGGAATAAGTTATTAATTAATGCTCTTAAAAATCATTTTAAAGCCGTCAACAACCCTTTAGTTGAAATTAGCATTTTCCCCGTTCTCAAGCTTTTTCTCCGCTTCAAGCTTCTTTTCCGAACGTACGGCTTTTACGATCAACAGGAAGCAAATCCGCTCAATCACACAGAACTGGTTATATCTGATATATCTCACAACATAGTTTTTATAAATTTGTTTTTAAATATCGAGGCATTTAAAATACTTTAATCACATTGAATGAATTTTAATGCCAATTAAGGCTTTAATCTAAAAAATAATAATTTAATGACTTAATTGTTTATAATGACCGTGGAAATCCCGTATTAGAAATATCGGGTCGTTTCAAAATTTTAATGATCGGCATTAAGCGATAACTGATCTGGATCTGCAGCAGATTATGTTATGGTTACCTGAATCCCTGGGAGGGGCCTTCTGGGTAATTTTCCGATCTGCGTTTGTATTTATAAGTTGGCTACAACCTTGGATCGGTTCATTCTTTTTATTTTTCTATGCGCTGCAATTTTAGAAAT